AATAAGTTTATTCTTAAAAATTCTTTATTGTTTTTGTAACACATTTTAGAATTATATTCTATTAGTGATCCCGTATATCAGGGAAATTGTTCCTGATGATCAGCCCTCATCTTATTAAGTTAAAAACTAAATGAAATAAACTCCAGACAAAAAAAATACCTCAGTTAAATAGCAGCTTATATTCACATTGCTTGATTTCCTTAACTTTTGTTACCTTCATCTCAAGTCCACTTTGGCCATCTGCTCCCATGATCCTGACTTTGCCAAGAAATGGTTTATTATCCAAAAATCTTCCACCCCAGTATTCTACTTCAGACCACTTCATACATTTCATTGACATCTCTAGTCCCCATCTTCCCTCTTTCTTCCTATTTCTCACCTCTTACTGCCCCTTCTTTTCTCACTCTGTTGATCCTGGAAACTATAGTTTGTCACTCAGTCACCTGCTTGCCAATATTATCACCAAACATTGCCCTTTCCTCACTTCATGCAGTAACACCTTACTTAGCCTTGGATTAATCCACCTGTGTTACTTTCAGGCTACTGATCACTACTGTGGGAAATCAAACATCTTCACATATTGGCATCACAAAAATCCATAGTCTGTAGCTTCAAATGGACCCCTAGTTCCTCCCTTTAAACTTCCTATGAATTGCTGATTCGCTTTCTTACTCCCTAGTTTTTCAAAGCTAGTTTTCTACCAGTCATCTCCTATTCACTCTCAGAAGATTTTATTTAATACATCACATAAAAACAAATAGTATTCATCATGTAGGAAACTGTTTGAGTTCCTATTCCTACGTTTACAAATGTATATATCCATATTTCATTCCTTCCTCTTGTCCTCCCATAGTCCTGGAAATATCTAGCTTCTTCAGTGACCTTGTTCTATGAATCACCCTCTTTATGGATTATATCTTGAAACTTTAAAACTCTTTTCCTTTTATGTCTATAGTTGTCTCTTACAATCTTTGTTTCAGGTTCCTTGTGTGTGTTTTTTCCTTTGGCTAGTTTTATTTTCAAAGATCTTCCTGCTTGTCTTTATTCTACTGACATTCTCTGGATGACACAGCAATTCCAAGACAATAACTCCAAAATCCACCCATAGCTAAGAGCTATCTTCTGAGTTATAATATATCTATCAAAATATTTATTAATTTTCTCTATTTGGGTGTCTCATAAACACTTCAAAGTCAACATGTACAACACTGAACTTGGCCTTTTTCATGCCAGACTTGATTCTCTTTCCTCTTGTTTAGATCCTTGGAAATGGCATCTCAGGCCATTGAATTAACAGGAACTTCAAAGCTGTTTTTAACTCTTCCCTCTCTTTTATCCTGGCATCCATTTATTTACTAAGTCATACATTCTACTTCTTTAATATGACATAAATTTGTCAACTTTCCACTCTCATTTCCACAACTTGAGCACAAGCCAACTTGATTTCATGCTTGGATTCTTGAGTTCTGGCTTGCCTTTTCTAGTTCTGTCTCTCTCCATTGCATTTTCCATGCTATAGAGTGATCACATGACCTTCCAACTTAAAAACTTTTAGTGTGCATCTATGGCCACTTGGACAGAGTTCAAGTTGCCATTTCTGTTGATATTGCTTCAACTAATTTCTCCATCCTCACTTTCTCTTCTCCCCATCTCTCTATGCATCCCTGTCCTTTTAACCATCTATAGTTCCTTGAATTTGTCATACCCTGCTGCTACCCAAGAGTCTGTATGTGTTGTCTCCTTGGTCTGAAACTTTTCTCCTTCCATTTAGTCTTTACTTATTAATTCCCATGTGTCCTTATTTCTCCACTGAGATGTTTCTTCTACTTTTTCTGACCTCCACTGTGTACTAGTTGTTTTTTCTTTGTGAGAAAAAACATAGCACCTTGTAACAAGCATCTTGTAACATAGCACCATAGCATTTTGTAACAAGAATGATTAGTATAGTTGGTACTAATAACATTGGAGCACTTATTTTATGTTAGGATCTGTTTTAAACAAGCTATATATCTTGCCTAATTCTCACAACAATATTTTTAGGTAATTATTATTATTTACTCAAATAAGTAATTTAAGCTACAGAGATGTTAAGTAATTTTCCCAAGTTTCTACAACTAGTAAGTTACACAAGTAGATTCTGAACTCAGGCATGATATTGGAGAGTTTACAAAGTTAAACATCATAAGTGGAAGCTCTTAAAACACTCTGTTGTAATCACCTTTTGTATCTAACCTCCTAACTGAATCCTAGGTTCTTAGAGGAAAATTGCATCCCTAGCAGACAACACAGTAATGGCTACTCCCAATAAATATTATTTGAGTAAATTTTAAAAAGGTGACATGTGATTCAGAGAAGAAAAGAGTTCTATAATCAGATCTACCCTGACCCAGCCTCAGTGTCAGTTGTTGTAACATTTGGCCCAAGAATAACAAATGACTTGCTATCATCTAATTACCTGCACTGTTTCCTGTCTGTAAGAGTTTATGTACCCTGCTCCATTTGCTTCCTGTACTTTTCCCACTCTGGTCCAGCTGGTCGACTCCTATGTGTTCTTCCAAATCTACCTCAGCATTCACTTTGTTTTTAAGGGTTTCTGATCTCCTTTTTAGATTCTAGGTTTTAGTTCTAACCTACTTCATACATTTAAACATTATAAAAAATGAACAAACAACAATCATAACACTGAATTAGACCATGTTTTTAAATCAGTGGTCTATTTTGTATTCATCTATGTATAACTGGTACTTGAGTGTACTGCCTAACACTCAGAAGGTGTTCAATAAATGTTTAATTAATTGATTGAATGAAATTAGGGTCATGTCTCTGTAGATTATGAAGCAGATAGTTCAACTCCAATACAGTATGATACTTCAGTTTGTTCCTACACTGACAAAGAATTAACTACTATTAGAGTTGTCCAATATTGGCATATTCGGACACCTAGGAAGAGAATATCACAACACCTTTGCCTGCTTTACTTTCCTGATTTGCCCAAGGGTTGGGCAAGGAATATTTCCATTTTCAAAAACCACTCATGTTGTTCACCCCAGACAATCTACAAACATTTTAAAAAGGCAAGTCTACTTTCATTTAGAGGTAGCTATAGAGGCCAAAGAACTCTGTGCAAATTTATAAGATGTCAAACCACCAATTCAGTCTTGTCAGGGAAAAACAACTTTAAAGTCCCCCAAATTGTTCTTTTTCCTGTCACTTCTATATTGGCTCCTTCATTTGTATTCTGCTGATGGTATGTTAGCACTTTTAAAAAATTCTCAATGGCATCATATCTGGGTTTTCTAACTCTATATGATTGCTATATCTTGCTCCTTAAGCACACATGAAACTTCCAGATTATGTTTCTTACAGCACGACTTTGAATTGAGTCATTTCTCTGCTCAGGAACTTCCAGTGGCAGCTGTCTGCGGCATTAGGTGGGAACTCCAAGCCAGATGTTCTGCCTCAATGATATGATACTAGTAAGTACTTTTGATGTTTTCATTGCTTTTTTTAAATTGTGTTCTTAAAAGTGAAATCAGGAAACCCAGTAAAGTTTCAGTGTATGTATTTTCTTATTATTAATATTGATGAACTTTCAAGAGTAGATGCTTCTTGTTAAACAAAGAAACCCAAGTAAAGGTTGTTATTAAATTAAGCAAAGTGTGCTAAATGAAGCAGGCACATTAAAAGATAATAGGAAATACATTTTGGGGAAAGATAAGAGATGTTTTACTCAGCAAATTATAGAGCACTCCAAGAGAAGCAAAATGACTTCACAACGGAAAGCTAACTCAATGTTTCACAGTTGAACTTGTAAGATGCATATTCAGCTGTGAGCATAATTAAACAAGTTCACAGGACATGAGGAAAGGATTACCCTTTGGATGCTGGGTCAAGCAAGCCATGTGGCCAAGAACATGGTGTTCCCTGCTTCAAAACAGTGGCCTGACTCTATTGACTGATGGGTTCTTTCATTCTCTTTCTGGCTTTCATCTCTTGCTCTGTCTCTCTACTGCCTTTCTTGGTTTGGATGTTATGTCCTCATCATCTAACACATGAAAGGATCAAAGAGTTCAAAGCTCTTCAGGCTGCCAGTATTTTATTTAGTTTAAAAAAAATCAACAAAAGTGAAAACCTATGCCCATTTTTCTCTTCGCAAGAAACCAAAACTCAAAGTTAAGGAAGCACAAGATCTGTGAAGTCCAAAATAAAAACCCACCTTTCCACATACATATACTCTATTATAACCTGCACCACCAAATTTTATGAAACAACTTAAATATTGCTAAGTAAAATCCTCAGGATACTAACATATTCTCAAATCAATCCCTGCCACTTTGCTGTACAAGTGGAACGTTGGCAGCTTCTCTTTCAATATCCAAAATACCATTTTTGGAGCAAATCTGAGGTTTTGATTCATTCAACAAACAATTACATTGAGCACCTACTATGGGTGAGAGACACTGTGCTGTGTGCGGAGCAAGCAAAATGGGATGATTTCGGATTTCAGAAGAATTCTAGTCTCTAAAGCAGTGCTTCTCAAACTATTTTTTGAATTAATCTGTGCCTTCCTTTGATAATCATAAATATCCACTTCTTCCATGAATCTTTTAACCATAAATCTTCCACTTGTCAGAAATTGCAATGAACCCTCCTAACCCTGAGAACCACCGATACACACAACATAGACTCTACGTTCTGCGTATCCTTCACAGACCAAACGTCTTTGAGCTTTTACTTTTTATTACAAAGACAACACATTTATTTTCCATGCACAAAGTTGGACTGGAATATTAAATGTACTTTTTTGAACAATGCTCTGCCCTCCTCCTCACCCTATCCCTTTCCCCTCCCCCACTCCCTGCCCCTACACTGAAATTTAAATTCTTTGCACCCAGCCCTGTTGAGAATCACTGCTTTAAAGAGTTTTGGAAAAAAAAACCAACAGGCAACCTCCATCTCTCCCCACCAATCAAATCTGAAAGGAATTAGAATTTTCCTACCTGACACAACAGCTGGTGGAGTATCATAATCCTGTCTTGGGACTGAATCTTTGAATGAGAAGAGCATGAGAAAGAATGCAATGAAGTACAAAAGAAAATAAAATAGAATCTTAGCTCTACAACTTGGAAGTGCCCACTGTAAGTCATGTGGTGGCCTAAGCCCCCTACCTTCAAGCTTGTGAGGCACTACGACCCCTACCTAGTTTATAGTTGATACAATGGTCCCCATAATCACCACACTGAATATGGTGCTAGGCCCCATGTGACTTGCTAGGACAGTAGAGTCTGTCCCAGAGAACTGTCATCTTCTGTAGTCTGTCATTATTTTGGTCACTTCCACAGGGTAGCAACATGACACTTGTACACTCTCTGGCTGGCATAAAAGTTCTACAGGGCAGGCCACATCTGGAAAGAGCCCAGAATATGAAACAAAGTCCTGGAGATAAAAATAAAGAATGGAAAATTTAAAAGAGATAAATAAAAAAATTGCACATTTTCATACTGTATGGGGGCTAATGAATTTTGATCACTCAGCTCCACTCTGATACCAGTGGTCAAGGCCACAGAGCTTTGTGTGCTAGAACAGTGAGAGTGGAGACAGAACAGAATCTATTCAACAGATGATTGCTGTCTTCTTCCAAAGTGGCATAATATTGGAGGTGGCAAATGGTAGGGAACAACTAATTAAAGTGCATGTCACTCATTGAAAAATTTGGAGTTATATGGGACCAACTACATCTGCCCTTTTTTTGAAAATGAGAAAGAATTTTGGCTTAATACAATTTCTTTAGCCAGAGGTCTAAAAAAAGGAACTTGGGTCTGGCCTACGGCCCAAGGCTCTCGCTTTTAGAAATGTAAACTTCTAATCCAGCCCCAATGCCCCTTGGAGGGGTAAATTGTATAAAAGGACCAAATATTGCTTACATTCAAATAAACTGCCAAAACATGATTAAATGTATGTTCTGTGTGACACTTATTTCATTTATATAATCATTATTTCTTAAAAAAAAAAACCAAAGACCTCAAACTTTATTTTTCTATTGACTTGAACACTTCATTTGGACTACCAGAAATTCCTCCATTTAATCTCCTTGCCACAAGAGGACAATGTTAATCACTTTCTTTCCAGAAGACAGATAAAAACATCAGCATTACAAGGTACTTTGACCAGCAAAAGCAAACATTGATCAAAGATTTAAAAGCAAATAAACTTTAGACATGAGTTATTTTGTTTTTCATAACAGGTATGTGAACTAGTGAGTTGATTATAATACCCAAAGCTAGAATAAGTAGAATCATTTTTAAAGGGTCTACAAACATTTATTAATAGTGATAGCAATTCCTAGTACTTCTTAAATAACTGCAATCATACATTATTACTACAAACAAAAAGTTAATTTTAAGACCATGCCACTAGTCATTTTTCCAAATATATTTCATAACATTTAAAAATAAATAATAAAGTAAATCACGCTTACTGTTGTATACTTGGAGAATGTAGAAAATATAACAATTAAAATATAAATCATTCCTAATTCCATAACCCAGGAATAACCACAGTTGTTGTATTTCTCACAGCCTTACTTCATATGTATTTTTTCTTATTTGTTACCATATTCCACATGTGCAGATTTACATCCTGTTCTTTTGATTAAAGATTGAACATTATCCTTTCTTATTTATTTAACATTCTTACAGCTTCATGCAGTGTTACATTTTAATGTATGGATGGCTTATGACTTACTTAATTATTCTTCTTTATTAGGCATTATAAAAACACTACTTTGAACAGTTTCAAGGCATAAAGCCTTTTCTGCTATTTTAGAACATTTTCATTGAGTAGCTTCTAACACCAAACTTAGTGGTCACTCAGTAGAGCTGCTTTGAAGCATGTTGAGTCTCTACCATGTTGTCCAATGGAGACTTTCACAAGTTTAGATTCTTATCATCACGTATTGAGAATGTTTATTTTTACACTTTCATCAGTAATGTGTGTTATTTTTATAACTGTAATGGGTTATGTGTGTATGTCTCTGTGTGTATTTGATTAAATGAATATCTGTTATTATATTTTTTCATTTTTTGGCATTCTATCTCCTCCTTTCTCAACTATCTATTTATGTTCTTTTATCTGTCAGGCCTTTGTATTTTGTTCTAGTTTATTTGAACTAAGAATCTATTTTTTAACAGCAAAACCTTAATATTTGCAATTAAACTTTCATACTACTAGACTTTCACTTAATGCCTATTTGTTTATTGTTTAAAGGCTGCCTTCAAAGTTTATTTATCTTACAATAAGAGTTAATAAAATGTGAAAAGTGTCCCTTTTATCTATATTTTTGGTCTTGTACTTGACTATTTTTTAATTAACGGACACCTTTTTTCTTGAAAACCATTTAAGAAGATACGCTTATTACCATTTATGAATTGACATTATTTCCTAGTCATGAGTCCATTTAAGATCATGCAATGCACTTTGTACTCTTATTTCTAATACTTATATTCATACCTAATAATTGTGAAAAGACAATCTCTAAGGAAAATGAGTAATTCAGGATTTTCACCAGGTACTGTCCGAGTTTTTGAGTAATAAGGAAGGAATGGTGTGTGGCTGAAAAAAAATCAGAGAACTCTGGTGAACAAAGGGAGTACAATTACAAGATTATCTTGGTGAGTGGCTATGGTTACCCCATGGGAATCCAGTGACACCACAAATCACCAGTGGTTTGGAGAATACAAACAGAACTGCAGATAAGAAGCCTGCAGAACAAAAACTTTTTATTTCTTTCCACAGATTGCTGCGACATTGTAAGCCACTGGTGACCACCAACTGAACAAAAGAAAAGGAGATAAGGAACTTGTAAAACAAGATCGTCATGCAATTTGGAGGTTCTTGTAACCCGGCACAATCCCCAGGGGCTTCTGCTAAAGCTTACAAGAGAATAATAAATTATGGTTAACAGGGCTTTGGTTCTATCCAGGGACTCCTGTGACAAAAAATAAACAAAAAAGTGGAAAAGCTAGAAAATTCTTCAAGGTCAGCAGAGCCTTGGAGTAAAACAGTTACACTGCTTGCATAAAATTCATTTCTCTTAAGGCCTGAAGATTTTGTCTAGCTTAAAAATAGGTAGAGAGTTAAACAATAAATGTTTGAGGTGGCAAGTGGTAGAGTAAGGTTAATTAAATCACATGGTATCCATTTCAAAACTGGGGGTTGAAAGGGATCATATATATCTAATTTGGTGAAGACAAAAAAGATTTGTTTTCATATACTCCTTTCCCCAGGGATCTTAGAAAGGAAAGTAGGACCTGGCCCATGGCCCAAGGCCCTCTTTCTGACACTGAAAAAGTCCAATGTAGCACCAACAATGACTGCCTTTAGAATGTTCACTGGATTTCTCTCTACTCTGCCCCTAGAACTTATTTCTGGAGTTGAGACCACTGTCTTATGCTTGAGTTGTCCCTGCTCACACCTTGTTTCATAGAATTTCAGTGAGCTTAGATGTCTGAAAGCTTCTGAAAAGTTACTGGTAAGAGAGAGACATGCTCAGCTAACTTTAGATTGACTGGCTGTGACAACATGGTGGGGAATGGATTGGAACTGACTGAGACAGGAAACAGGAAGAATAGTGAGGAGACTATTAAAATTAATCAAATGAGGCCCAGGGCACAGAGTCTAGAAATATGGAGGAAGGGATGTATTTGACAAATGTATGAGACAAAATTGGTGGGACTTGAAAGGTAATTGCATATGGTGGTGAGGAAGAAGGAAATAACCTAGACTGAGTGCTAGGTGGAGCATTTGACTACCAAGGCAAATGGTGATGGATATGGCTTGAGAGAAAATAAAAAGCAGGAACATATAAGAGGAAGGGGAGAAAACAGTGGGGAGGAAGCTTGGGGAAGCTAATGTGAGTAGTTTGGTCCATGCTGACTTGGATATATCATGAAGGAGATTTACATGAGATAGTTAGCAAGTAATTAGAAAAATGGGTCTAAAATTTTAAGATGAAGTTAGTGTTGAGGACTCAGATTTAGGAGTGTTTGGCATAGCCAGCAGAGTTCAAAATCATGAAAGTAGATGACATTGCTAAGGAAATCATGTATTAATGAGAAGAAATGAAATCCTGTCTTTGCAGCCTGTCAAGGACAAGAAGCAGCAATGGCCAGAGGGGTCCCAGGAGACCTAGGAAATCCTTGGTCAGGCGGGACTCACAATCCAAGAGCTTTGGGGACAAACTGGGTTCAATATTCAAATATAGAAAATTTTTTATTAAGATCCAAATGTTTAGTTTATCTTAACTAATTGGAAGATGAGGCCACCCCAGGTCTGTATGCCTATGTAGCAATAATGGGCTGGAATATAGTAGTGGCTGCCTTCTTTAGATGTTGGCATCATGTTCTAGGCTGCCAAGTGTACCACCTCCTAGTTCATCCAACACTCAGAGATGTTGTTAGCATTGCATTAAAAATATATGTAATTTAAATATAATCTTCAATATTACTTATATTTATAGTACATGACAGACCAGATTTGATTATATATTTCTAAGGTTTGTTGCATAAACTCAGCCAACTTTTATTCATTAATGTGACTTGGCTGGCCTCCAGGAACTTTTTGGATTTACAACCCTGGAAGAGTGTGTTAGACACTAAAGAAGTGGAAATGTGAAAGAAATAAGTTATGCCAAATGAAATAGAGCAGGACAGTGAGTTGTGCTGTGGACTTGATAATTTCCTACATTCCTTCTGGTGACTTGGATTAGATTCCCACCAGTTCATAGCCACTGAAGATAGGGGGATAAGGACGGCTTGTGTGATAAGCATCTATTAGGTTTCACATTGTATTAAGTATGTCACATATATCATTCCATTTAACCCTGGCAACTTTCCTGGAATGTAAATATTATTTTTCCTACCTTGTAGAAGGGAAATAAAAGTTCAGAGAGGTTAAATAACCTGCCTAAACATGCATAACTAATTAAGGAGCCGAGCCAGACTTGAACTCACTCAAGTTTGATTCCAACTTCCACTGATCTTTCCATGACAACAGACCACCTTCCCAGCAGTGACAAAGTGTGTTGAAATGATGCAATAGGAGGGAACATTTGATAGCCACTCCAAATATGAATTAAAATTTACATAAAATGGATCTATGATGGCGCATTAAAGTATAAGAGTGACAGATCAAGAAATATGTATAACAGTATTCTGGACATAGTGCTATTTTGTTGAATAAATCAACAAGGTAATATTGTTTTCTCTCTTCCTTTCCAGAGCCTCATGAAATTTTATTTCTTTGCAAAACATTGATTTATACAAAGCTTATAATATACCTAAGCATTTCTTAGTACAAATGTGAAGGCAAAAAAGATGGAAAAATATGCTACAGGAAATTTCAGTATTAAAAATAAGCCATATACTTAAAACTTTTGCTAAGAACAGGATAGAGTGCACATCATTTTTGAATTCTTTGACTGTTGCCAGCTGGGTAAAAATTGTGGCCTTGTATAAATATGTCCTTGTTGAAAATGTTCAAATGCTAATTGCAATATATGTTGTTGAACCAATAACTATTATAATTCTAAATCTGTTCTGTATATTTTAGTTTATTTTTCAATTCCCTAAAGGATGCAGCCATAATCTAAGTTAAACTTAGCTCTTACATTTTTTCTAGTTTGCAAATTTAAACTTCAGCAAGTCAGCTGGCTTTGCTTTTGCTTCAAATGAGTAGGATTTATAAAGTGTTTCTTGCTATGCTTTGCATTATAACTCCCTCTTTTATCAGATTCCAGATTGTTATTCAATATAATAAGCTTGCAATACTTCACTTATTGAGAATTTATGATCCTTTAAGGAGATTAAGGCCAATATGAAGGGAAATCAATAGCGGGCACATGAGAAACTTCAGGTCTCCCCACACTGTTCACAGGGTCTGTTTTGCTCGTAAATGAGCAAAGCGACTACAAACAATCCTTACACATTGCTAAAAGCTCTGGAAATATTATCTTCAATTCCATCTCCCTGATGACAATTATCTCTGCCACAGTGGAGAGTTAAATGTCTTCTTAGACATGACTTTTAAATGTCTACATCCTAAGGACTCCTTCGACCAAGTGGGAGCCTTCAGACAGGTACAGGATCATCAACTGCTTTCCATAGATTTAGCAATGCAGGCCTTAGAGACTGGTGCTTTGTTTACGCCAATAAAACTAAATTTCTCTATTGAAACGAAGTGACCCTTTCCATGATGTATAAGGACTTTCTTCTTATTTAGAGCAGATTATTGAGGCCTCAGTGGGCATGTTAGAAACTTCTTAGATTCTAAAAAAAGCCTACATGGCAAGCAAGCCATTGCTTTAAGGTAAAATTTACAGTATGTGGCAGGTGTACATAGTATATGAAGATATTTGGAGATGATGCCAGCACAGAAGGGGTGACACTATGAGACGTACAGGCTTAAAGACACAGAGGTGTGTAGTCAAAGGGGCCCCATCCATCATGCTCAATGCTTCAACTAGACAGAGAGGGAAATCGAGGCTGGAAGATATTATTTTCCCTAGGACAGATGGACACAACAGGGCTCAGTCAAGATTTGAGTCTAGATTCCTGACTTCAAGTCCTGTGTTCTTTGTATAATACTTAAGCTTGCCTTGAAAAAAAGAAAATATCTTTTTCTTTCTACCTCTTTAAAAATGACAAACACCTGCATTAACAGTTACAAAAATAAAAACTGTTAACAATGGTTTCACCTGGGAGGTGGACTCAAATGTTTTTCATTGTTCTCTATAACGGTAACTAACAAAATTGCAGTGTTCCAGGTTGTAGTGAATAGTTGCCTTCTTGATCGTTTGGGGAATTGTCTTTGAATAGATTAAAAAACAAACAAACAAAAAGTTTTACTAATGATTTCAAATGCCTCACTGATAGAAAATCAACACTGGAATAGGCATTTTTCCGTATACTTTTGTTCTCGAAGGAAAAATAATGGCTGGCCAAAAATATGCCAACTTATTTTAAAAAGAGGATCAAGTGCATTAGATTCCTTTCCTATTCTTCAACATCATTGACACCAATACATTCAAAGGCAATATGAAAAGAACTCGATTATGTCAGGCTCTCAATTACTTTTTACTGACTTAAACATTGAAAATAAATAAAAAGCCCTGCAGATTAGTCATAGCCCAGGTTGGCAGCTCACCTGTGACTAACCTGGGCATGATATATTAGCTGAAGTGGTAAGCATCTGGGGAAAGAATATTAGGCTCAAGTGTATTAAGTTACAAGGTCTAGATTTGCAGGTGCATGCATAAAAACACTTTCTTCGAAACAGACATTATACCTGGTGCATTGTGGCTTAAGAACAAGAAGCAACTCCCATTTAAACGCCACATAGCACAACCTTCAGGGTTGTCAATGGGAGAAACCATGTCCCGGGATCAAATGTGCATGCAGAAAGCAGCTTGTTCCTACTGGAACCTGAAAGGTGTGTTAGTCGAAGGTATAGAACCAGTTCTGCTGATGATAATGCCAGTGAAGAGAGAGTGTTTCATCCTCCTGACGAAGTCTAAGAAAACGAGACCAAACAAGCTGCTCAGCTCACCGTTCCTGTTGTGCCCAACGAAAGGTGGTTCATCTGTTGTGTCAGGGGACCCATCATGTTTGCTGGCTGCATGGACATGGGATGGTCCATCGTCGGCGTGATCACAGCACCCTGGAAACATATACAATGCCCATCTGAAAATACGCTCCACAAGGAAGACAAATTTTAAAACAATTAAACACAGTACACTGTGTTAACATCCAATCTGTTTATTTTTTAATGAAAAGGCTAAATTCAAGCATGGATAAGTTTTACACCCATCCACATCATCTGCTGTTCATCTAAATATATAGCATTAGCGACTTCCTTTCCTCTGAGGCGACTGATCGGTGATGAGTCAAACATGCCTGTTATTTATAATTCCAATACTTAAGGTAGAATGTGTTCCAAGACACCATATGCATCCCCTCTCTCATTGTTCTGAATACAAAGTTCTCTGCATAAAAATAGAAATATTATGGAAATTCTCTAGTTTTTATGTATATCGAATAAGACTTTTGGTTTATGCTATTTATCCAGGATTTACATGGATAATTTTTAAAGAGGGGAAGGGAAGAAGAGAGGGAGAGAAATATCAATGTATGGTTGCCTCTTGTACATCTTCTGCTGGGAACTGGTCTGCAACCCAGGCATGTGCCCTGACTGGGAATCGAACCATGATCCTTTTATTTGAAGGCCTGAGCTCAATCCACCAAGCTATACCAGCCGAGGCTTACATGAATAATTTTCATTGCCTCAACCCAATCTACCACTGGGGTGATAATGCTGGACCGGATGGGTTCCTTGACTGGGTCTCTTCAAAGGACATATTAAAATCTAGTATAAATGCTATAAAGTTAGAGCGACTATTTCCTATTATTTTAAATTTAAATACTTTGATCTACTTTCATTCTCTCTATGCTTCTGACACAAGACTGAAGAATACTAATCTGCTCAACGCTGGTCAAACGCAACATTGCTAAAAAAAAAGTTTTCATGTAAAAATGTCCAGTATTTAATCAGGTGTTATGAAAAGCCTACTTCTAGAACATGCTCTTTGACTTATTTTAACTGTTGTAATGCAAAATAAAAAGGACATTTAAAACAATGTCTATCCATATATAAAGTGTCACACAGCTACTGAAGCATAGAGTCAGGCTATATACCTTACCCTCCCTCCCCTTTCCTCTGCCTCCTAGTCTGCCTTAATTGACTAATCTAGACAATGGAAAAATATTTTTAAAAAATTAAAAGTCCAGGATTGGATGGAATGTTTTATAATTCCAATTGTATAATTTTATAATTCCAATGTTTTCAAGAAGTTCATACTCTAACAACTCATTTAAATGCTGTGTGGTAATAACACCATGTGTCAGTATATTATTTTTTCTGTAAACATTGTTTTTTCATATATGACTCCCCCCATACATGTAAGTAAACATTCTGAAGAAATAAAACTAGGAGAGATTCAAGTAGATGACAGGCTCTCAGACCCCAAACTAATTATCCACAAGCAAAATGTTTCCTAAAATGCTTTTGCTCAGGTGATTAATTCCTCATGTTACTTTCCAAATTCAACTTCCCAACTGTATCTGTTAAAAGATTAGGCAATCACTCAGCCTTTTTTATGAGTTCCTTCCATTCATGTGGGGGAGAACAGCCATTGAGCCAAATATTTAGAAATGCTTAATATACAGATTCAGCTTTGTTCCAAAAGGCATTAGGACTTTTGAGCTAGAATCATTTGGAAAATATATGTGTTATTTTATGTCTTTAGCTTGTAAATACACACAGTTGTGGATTTGTGTTTTTTGAAATTTATAGTGCGGTGAATTGCTCATCAGGATGCTTCTTGAATGAGAAACATGATAAAAACTTTTACATATAACTCAGAGACATATCACTTTTTCTTCCTGCTGTCTGAATTCTTTAGCAAAAGCATCTTTATTTTATATTTTTAAAAAGGCACTTCATTTCACGTATTTGCTGTGCCAGACCAGAACTAAACACTTTAAGAAGAGCTGTAGTTTTTTCTTAAATCGCTTAGAGAAAAACTATATAGAATAACCTCCAAGTTAAGAAAAGTCCTAAAGCATTTTTTCAACCCCAAAATGGCACTTTCACAACATTTTAATCCTTAGCAGGTGCAAAACTTCAATACTTTTCTTAAACTTGAGACTTAGCCTATCTTTTTAGAATATTTGCCCCCAGAGATTCTAACATAGAGCTAAACTGTCACAGTCCTGGAAACCTCTCAATTTAATCAGTCTGCTCTAGCCACATAAAGATTGTTTGTCATAAATCAGAGATAAAGACCAAATTGTGTTTGGTAAGAATACTTTCTTCACAAAGCGCTAGGGGGTGACCTCATTCCCCAGTGTTTCCGAGAGGGAGACTTGAGTCTTTGTTTGCAAGGCAATATGCAAATGAGATATGTGAGTATGTGACAGATGAATCAAATCCATGCATGATAAGAATAGAAGGATTGAATGCCTGCATTTGGAATTAATTTAGGAAGGACTGTCTGGTTTCCTTAAAGAATCCTTTCTCGGAAAGTGTTTGGGGACTCATTTGATTACAGATGCCACAGAATAAGTGCTGCTTCTGTGTACAAACCAAACACCTGGCAATCAAAGGAAAGAGTGGGGAGGGATTTGTCATAATTTGGAATTGTAAATGGCAGCACCAGGCAAGGAGTGTAAAAGAGTGTAAGGGAAACATTCTTTTCCTAACCAAACCAGTTATTAAAAATAAATGAATGAAATAATAATAATTCTTGGGGGATGATTGGTAAGAACATACATTCTTGTTCACATTCAGTAAAGATGGCCAGTGAAACAAGGACTCCCTCCTAGATTATTAAGAATATAAATTCCTTAACAATCTCAAAGGATGAAACAACTTTATAATCAGTGAGTACATTGGAAGTACAGGCAGAAATCACTTGGAGAAACAGGGTTTTTTGATGATACTTATCAGGGAAAGACAACTTAAAGACTTTGAAGTGTTGGTTATCTGCAACAGAGAATGGTGTTTGATAGACGATTTCCTCATCACAGAATGCCCTTTGTATTCTATAGGACATTAAAAAATGGAAGAGAAAAAAACAAAAAGGGAAAAGGAAAACCTATGACTGTTGAGGCCAAACTAGTGGCCTCAGCTATAATTGTGCCTCATTAAATATACTGTCAAATCCATTTCTACCCCATGCTTTTAAGCTATAGACTGAAGAGTGTTTGTGACAGATGTTGCCAACACATTAAGGGTAATTTCATTGATTCAACATGTATAGAATGTGCAGTCTGACAGAGTTTGCTTGGCAAATGGCAAGGCAAAAGGAAACAGATTTTTCATTTTAGCATCTCTGGATGTCTGGGTTTGCTCAATGTTTAAGCAGCAAAGAAAAAACACTATAACACACTGTAATTCCACTAAAAAACACAATGACCAAACAGCTGATGGAAATGTCTGGTCTATTTTAGCCACTGCCTCTGCAAAAACAAAGCTGCTCACACTCAAGAGATGTAGGGCGGATCTGCTTGCCCTAGTTCTGAAATAAACAATTTCAACAGCAATTTGGATAAAGTTTCCAAAGATCATTGATGTGGAGTAAACATAGCTGACCTAAAGCCAGAAAAGCATCTGTGTTGTTAACCTTCTGCCAATAGTTGAGAGACATTTTAAGTCTTGGAGAGCTCATCAATATTTTAATTTCCCAAATGAAATATAAGATCATTGGCAAATAGGGGAAAACATGTGTAGGCTCTCTTCCACCAGAAGCACACATAGCTGGCTTAAGACCTATTTTAAACCATTGCAAATGTGCCAATCAGTGTCCTTGCTTTCTCCTATTTCCTTTTGGTCTCCTTTAACACAGCAATGTGTGATCCTTTCAAAATGTAAGCCAGGTCATGCCACTCCTTTGTTCTAAATCATCCAATGGTTATCCCTCTTACTCAGGGCAATAGCCTAACCAGGTCCTACATTATTTGGCCTTTTGCTCCTTTTCTGATTTCATCTCTCACCATTCTCCATGTGGTCCACACTGCTCTAGCACACTAAGCTCTTTGCTGTTTCTCAAGTATTCCAAATAGCCTCCTTCCTTCATTACTTTTGAATGGGATTCCTCTCTGGCTGGAATGTCTTTCCCTCACATAATCTGCTCAAATGTTTCTGATCACCCCCTCTTGGCTTCTTCAGTATCTCGCTCAATTTTCCTCTTTCTTCTGCATCACAAGGGCCACTAGGTGATGACCTCACCTATAGATTAAGTCAAAACTTCAAAACTAGGTTCTTGATGACATCTTTGAGCATCTAGATTAAGTCTTGCCTAATATGAGCCCTATCCTTGGACTTGTATATGAGGCAATCATCAGTTTATTATAATATCTGGCAAACAACATAGAAGGCATTATCCATGAAAAACATCATTATCATTAGCATATTTAAATCACAATTTATTGTTCATATTTTAATGTGATAGAATTACATAGTGATGAGTATTGGCAGGAAGAAAAATTGTAATTTATATAAATAAAAAAAGAGTAATACAAAAAACCTATATTAAAGCCAGGACATGGGCTACAGTTTATAGTGCAAAGAAGCACTTATAGGAATCTTCCTCTGAACATCAATATTCTTGTCCAGTTGACACACCAGCTATGATCTGTGGACCTGCGGCAGCAAACTAAGGATTAGAATGAAAACCAGGATCCCTGGGCTTTGTGTTTTGTCATCTGTGTTTTAATAGCTCCAGATGACTTTGATGTGCCCTAAAGTTTGAGAAGTCTGCTTTGTTTATAAACTGCTATTGTATAAGCCCATGTTACAGTTCTTAAATACAAACAGTTGGCTGTATTTTATTTATACTGTCTCTCAATTATGTGTTTTAAAGCAGCCTTGTGATAAGGCATGAGCCTTTATAGCAATAATCCTACCATGTTTTATTTAAATATGCAAAGAGGACAAGCCTACATTTTTGATGAGCTGAAATAGGCAATTATTTGAATAATTCAGGCCTCTGCTTGATGACCCAACATGTTTCCATTTGCTCAGTCTCTCATGGGTTGTGTTGGATGTGTGAGAATTCTTCCTATTTGAAACCTCAGCAACGCCTGAATTTGAAATTATTG